GTATAATGACATGGGAAAATACCCGAACAAAGCTGAATACCATTCATGTAAGTACCCGCGAAAACTTAAGAAAACATACACACACACACAAACACACACACACATAATACGCAATTTTAATTTTTAAGTTAATACTAACATTTATTGAGTACTCCAACAATACTGAAATCTAAAGAAATACCTTAATAAAATCTGTTTCTGCCTCACATAAGCATTGGCTAATAATATTTCTGAAGAATAGCAAGCAATTGTCAGAAATAGTTCTTTTCAATCTGATATAGAAACTATTATAAGGTACTGAAAGCTTGGCATATCTGAAATTTATAATCATCGGGGGGGGGGGGGGGGGGGAAATAACAGAACAAAATAAAAGCCTGATTGTAACTACATCCACTTCTTGTGAATGAATTACCTGAGAAATCTTTCTAGATCATCTCTGCTACAGCGGGACCATGAAACATCCCCAAGGTTTTGCCCTTTGATCCATTCTCCAGACATGATGTGGAGACCATCTGCACAAGATGGGTGGTCATTGTCATGATTTATTCCCATGCTGAAACAAGTTTGAAAAACGGTGTATTTTAAGGGAAGAACAGTATAAAAGCAGCTTCTAAAATGTTCAACTAAAATTTTGTGCTCGTACTTCCAACGTAGACATAGAATTAAGGATTTACACAACAGAATGTAAATTTACAACATAAAATAGAACCTTAACATGCTTGCAATATTTAAAGAACAAATTTGATGAAGATAATTCAATTACTTTAATTATTTCAAATTTAAATGGATGATAGAGAGACAAATACACATAATGATACACATGTCTATCATTTCTTATTAATTTCAGGGAGAAGTCAACTTAATACAATATATTCCTTTTATTTAAAATGGAGACTTAGCCATTCTTACTTATAATCCTTGATTTGTGATTTAGTGCATTGAATGAATCCAGCCAACTTAGCTTATTCAACAAATCACGATAAACAAGACTATGATTACTTGAATGTATTCATTTGGTTCAGATTGATGTTTGTCTAGGTAGATATGTCTACGCTTTGCTAAGCAATCTAATACATATATTGGTTATGGTCTGACTTATTTCATAAAAGTATGAGTACATCATAATTCAAATAGCCAGCCTTAGGTTTGCAGTTTATAATTGTTGTTTGCCATTGCAACAAGTTTTGTTTCCACCAGAAAAAAGTGGGCTATAGGTACTTATGACCACAATTGAGCCCAAAATTTCTGTTACTAAGCGAGATAGTTAAGTGAGTGTTGCCCCATTTTACGACCTTTCTTGGCATAGTTATTAAGTGAATCACTGCAGTTAATAAGTTAATAATATGCTTGTTAGATGAATCTGGTTTTTCCATTGACTTTGCAACTGTCATAAATATGAGCCAGTTGCCAAGCATCTGAATTTTGATCATGAGACCATGAGGATTCTGCAACAGTTGTAAGTGTGAAAAATGGTCATGTCCCTTTTTTCAGTGTCGTCGTAACTTTGAATGGTCACTAAACAGACTATTATAAATCAAGAACTGTATTGCAATTTTTTTTACAATAAGAAAAAATAACCATAACAATTGAAGAAAACAGAGACATAAAAGTATTTCTGGTACAGAAATATAGCCCTCAGTATAGTGGTTAAAAAGTAGGAAATGGTGAGATAGATGCAGATTCAAATCTCTATTCAATCATGAAATTCAGTAGGTGATATTCAGCTAATTATAAGTCCAACATATTTCAAGGGCTGTCATATATGAATAAAATTATGATATATTATAGATTTATTTATTTTACTAGCTTTATGCTACTCTAATTATTAGCCAACTATGAGCAGTTAACTATGCTACCATAATCAAACAAATTTAAAATAAGCAAAATAAATAACCTCCTAAATAACTTTAACAAATAAATAACCGCAATAAATAACAAATTAATAATAAAATATTTTTAGCTGACCAATCTGGCAAATAAATATTTTAAGATGCTTATTTTCGTGTCTCCATTCCTGGATCATTATCTTGTAGTGAAGATGTAGCTTGTCTTGTGGTGAAGGAATTTGTGCTTTTAAGTTATGGTGTTGAACAGCAGAAAATGTATATTTTTAGAAGGTCACCCATGATGGGCAGCTCATAGATGAAGGATCAGACTAAATAAGCTCCACTGAAAGGAAATGACAGCTACTCAAATATTTTACCAAGTAAACCAAAAAGACATTCACAAGAATATTCACAATATGACATGGAAGATGAGCCTTGAATATTGGAAGGTAAAAAGAGCAGAGAAAATTATGATAGCATTGGAGTTTATGATATAGCTGTATTAAGGTTCAGAGAATGTCTACCTGTCAGTGTGTCCAGTGATAAGATCAGTGTTGAAATGATATCATAGTAATGGTGTGATCATAACTATGAACCAAGACAAATTTAATATTGTCAAGCAGAAGAGTCAAGGCTAAATATTGATATTCTGGAAATCAGGACATTGACATGAACTGAAATGAGTCATTTCACACCAGAGAAGAATCGGATCTTCTACTGCAGACTAGGGGAAAAAAATCACCAAAGAATAGAGCAGACACTAACAAAGATGCAACCACAAAAATGACAGAATGATTTCAATTTGAGCCCAAGACCAGCCAATTAATATTAACATAACCCAAATTTAGGCTCCAACTACTGAAGTATTTGAAACAGTTCTACAGCAATTTGAAGTATCTTGCCAACACTATATTTTTTTGAAAAAAGATGTTACACTAATTGTACTACACCAAGTCTTCTTGCTGAATGTGACTCATATTACAAACTCCTTCTCCTAATTAAAATATGACTAATAACCAAATCATCAATCCAGGAAGATATTATTTCAGTCCATAACAGCAACAATTAGGACTGAAAAGAAAACCAAGTAACATCTCAATATGATTACTGAGATTTATTAGGAAAAAAGTGACAATAAAAATACTACCATTGGTTTAAAATGTGAATCTTTTATTTAGTCAAAGAAGTTTCTAGCTTTTTTTCTTGCACTTTCAGGACAGGGGTGAAGAAGCTGTACACTTCTGGGAATGTCTCATGAACTGCAGAGAAGCTTTCTTCAGTCAACTCTTTGTACTGATGGGAGGGCTCATACACTGAAAACCGTTTGCTTATGTGGATGCCTTTCAGATACAAAATTTGGATCTGTATCTAGCCACGTTTAAATACATTGCAGTCTGCCAGGACAAAACAAGCCAAGACATGACAACTAATGGCAAGAAATAAATTATATTCAAAGTGCTGGGAGAGACTACGAGAATGACATCTTTCCCGAGAAGAACAGGAGATATTGCGATCATTCACAGAATAGGTTGTGGGCTGAACTGGAATTCTCACTCCTCTCTCTCTCTTCTTACTAATATGTAGACTAGAGACTCTCCTATCTTTGAGAAACACTCTCACTTACTTCCTTAATTAGCAGCTGCTTGTTTCAGAGATACTCCCATTACAGCACATTCTCTTTCTCTGGCTTTTGGAGATCTGCAGGAGAAAAACCACAAAAATCCAAAATGGACTCCGATTCTTTATTCATTAATCAACAAGCAACCAAGTGGTATAGGAAGCTAGGCAAAAATCCTTAAGCAATTCTTTTAAATGGGAATAGTTCTTGTATTTCTAAATACAAAGGTATCGGCCCAATTGTTGCAGGCTATAATCAGAAGCCTGAAGGTCACCAGAGAAAAAACGGCAATGAGAGGAATGGAAACCAAGTTCAGCAGCTTCTTGGTATATGGTTTCACTAAAAATTTGGGTATCTTTCAATAAAAATGTGTATACCTTACAACCTAGAGCTGTGACTATAGTGAAATGGACAGCTTATCAATTTAACAAATAAGTAAAATAAATACCTTTTCCAGGGTCTGTTAGTTCTGTCTGCTTCACTCTTAAATGGTCAAGAATTCCTAGGTATACTATCTTTTTTCTTGACCTTAGAAAATGACTAGTTAGTCTTATTAAGCCCATCTGGAATTTTCTATTACCACTAACTGATCCAACCCGATAATGCACTCCTGTTCAGCTTGGTACCTATTGATAAAAATGTCCAATGCTTCTTAGGTTTAGCAGACCAGTTCACCCCCTCTTACTCTGGGTTTCAAATTTGAACAATTGCATTTTAGCTAAATAATAAGGACATATATTATGTAAAAAGGACCTATAAACTTTTAAGAAATAAAATCTGAGTACATCTCTTACTTGTTCTGCAAGTCAAAACAATAATTCAGATTTCTCAAAAACTCTCCTAAGCTATATGGGTCAACCGTATAACTATCCTGTGCATAATCCTGGATACTGTTTACACAATAGCTATTTTCTTTCTTACGAATGTGAGAATCTATTTTTGTGCTCAGCAATACATTTTATTTCTATGGATTATAAGTATTATTAATAGATTAATTTAGTATATAAGTACACGAATAATGTTGGATTGCAATATTGAATATATTGAATAACGTTGGATTACAATATTGTATGCTCCACCATTAGCAATAGACGGTTTTGATCTACAATATTTGGTTTTGATACAACTGAATTGGAGACAGTTCCTCCCCATCCAAACCTGCATAGCCTCCAGGCACTGCCACTGATCTTTGCAGCATCACTTGGCTGACTTGGGTCAAGAAATACAATTGGGTATCATTAGTATACTAATGATACTCAATGTGGCAAATGATCTCACCCAGCTGTTTCATGTAGATGTTGAAAAGAAAAGTGTGAGTGTGGCATCTCATGCAAGACAGGTCTAGGGACCGCTCACTCCCTCACAACCAATGATGATTATAATCAGTCCTGGAGTAAGAAACAGAATCACCATAAAATGGTACTCACAATTACTTCAGAAGAGTATTGTGATCGAAACTTTCAAAAGTCACTGAGAGATCAAGGTGCACAAGAATAAACAAATCACTGTCCTGGCTCTGCCACAAGTCAACAACAAATACAATCAAAGCTATCTTAGCACTAAATCTCAGACTGAAACCCAACTTCCACATAGAGAAGGTTGGGGACTGCTTGGTAGTTGTCATTGGGTCAAAGGATTGTGCCACCTTTTTCAATAAAATTTATTGAAAAATTAATATGACTAGGATAGGATACAACTGTTAGAACAGAATATAGAACAAAAACTGGCTGAAAACTGGCAAAGGCATTTTCCTAGGTATTTAATTTGTATGCAGAGTACATTAAAAGAAATACTGTGCTACAACAAATAAAAATCAGAATTAAATTTAATTAATTAAAATTTAATTGGTTGGGAAAAACCATTAAAATTAATTGTTGGGTAAAATATCAACATAGAAGATAAATAGAAGATAAAATACTTAAGAAGACAAGAGGTACTGGAGAAAATCTTGACTCAGGGAAAAATTAAAGATGAAAAAGAAGCTAAGAGAAAAAAAGAAGTGTTATTGATGAGACATGTATATGCTCATCAAAATTCAAAGAAGCAGTTACTGGAAGACAGTGAAATAATGTCTGTTGGGTTATGATTATGCAGTTCATTGAATAATCAGAAATTATTACATAACTTGAAGAACAACAATAATTCCTCATACCAAAGTCCCTTGTGCTTCACCTATGGATATAGACAACTTCATTTTAACAGCTTTATTTTATTTGCGAAAATGTTTATAATTATTTTTTGAAAAATCAAATGTTATAAAATGTATTTTGGTCCAAATAAATTATCCATTGTAAGTGTTTCTTATAAATCCCACCTGAATTTTGCTACATTTTTTGTATGATTGCATAAACAATGGCAGGCTTTAAAAATCCCTCTGATAACATACTCACATTATAAATCAATACTTTACAAGATCTGTTTTTAACTTAAGTTTGGGGCTTTTCTTTTCCAACAAATCTTATTATTAAATTGTAAAATAGAATTCTCAGCAGTAATTTTTAGTCTGACTAACAAAAATAAGATACTTCCGTCAACACCCTTGACAAGACTCCATATTTATACAAAGGAGCTAACAAAATAATACTGTAATAAATACCAGAATATAAAAGGATAAAACTAGACAAGGTATAGCTTCCCATTCCTGCTCCTTTGTTTATCCCACAGCATAAATATTAAGTCCATATGATGAGAAAAGATACTCAATTCTCCCATCTTTGAGGTTTCACCTGTATATTTTTCTAACCACATTTTGATTTCCACTGTCTCAATCCAGTTCTGAAACAGGAAGTAAGCCCTGCCAATCAGGAAATAAATTTGAAGAAACTTGACCCAAGTAGGATGGTTGTTCATTCAGAAACCTGCTGATTGGGTGTGGGATTGCACTAATTTTTGGCTTTCAGCAGGATACTTCCTCCCTATGGACAGCAGAACCACAGTGTGAGGATTCTCTTGGACTCAAGATTCTGTTGTAAAAGTTAAGTGGAGGCTATGGCTTGGGGGGTGGATTTTTAATTGTAGCAGTCTTCTGATATGAGCATTCCTCTGTTCTTTTTCATGTGAAAATTCATGTCAGGAAAAATATTCTGTCTGGTTTCCAAAAATCCAAAAATTAACTTAAAGAAAAAAGAATCATTCCCCGTGCTTTCTACATCTCTGTCAGGTGCAAAGGATCAGGATTGTACATTAAGTTCCAATAAAGATTTATTGCTCAAGCTAGAATCTAGTCAATTAACAGTCAGCACTAAATTGGTACTAGAGAAGAGCAAAAGGAATTCAAAGGAGGACTAACTTGCAGCATTTGTGGACATGTAACAATTCTAGGCTGAATCCTCCCTTGACTCCATGCCCAGGCTCAGGCTCTTCTTCTAGAGTCTCCGTTTCTATCATTTAATTATTTGCAATATTACCAAACCAGCTATAATGTGAACTATTTTTTCTTTATATATAGAATATATAAAACAAGCATTCTATTTAAAAACCCCACAGAATATGAAAAGCAAAAATATCAAATCCTCTGTGTCAAATTGGGGCTTTTTTTTTTTTTTTGTCAAAGCCACTTTATGTAATTGCAAATTTAGATATTGCTTATTTCATTTACTTACTTGTGACCCATTTCATGAGCAATAGTAAATGCAAGATTCAGACCGTTGTCCTCTGCAATTATACATTTTCGTTTTTCACTACACATGCCATTCAAATATGCTATTCCTAAAAGATACAAGAATCATAATTATTTACCATATTTGATATTATCTAAGTAAATTCATTTCCTATTATTACTAAGGTTTGCATATGCTTACCAAAAATACCTAACCCCAATAATATACTGATAATTTATGTATAATATACTGATTTAATTTCTGTCAAAAATATAATAATTAAAATACAGATACAGTATATCTGCTTTCTTAGGATGCATCTTTAAAAGCATATATAATAATGGACATTTCAAGTATGATGTATAATTAGAGATATGTTATGCAAGGTTAGAGATATGTTATGCAAGTAACCTAAATCTGACGGAATCGGTACACTGCTGGAGTATCTTCTTTTGCTGCTATTGGCTTTTCTTCTTCTTCATATGTACAAGAAATTTAGATAGCATTTAAATGATTCATTGCATGTTTTGGTTTATGATTACGTACTTTCTAAAAGGTTTTGCTTCCCCCGTCCCATTTTTTTTTAATTCGGTGGGCATTTTCTAGTAATATCATAGAAGAAATCAAGTACTAGATTACTAGAAATCTAGTAATATCATAGAAGAAATCAAGAACAAAGAAAAAATATAAAAGGGTAGAAATAATAGTCTACTAGTCTACACGTAGTCTACAATTTGGTGTAATAACAGACTAATAACTCTTTCACATATTCCATGCCAGATTTTTCCATGTACAAAATAACATGATTACATGCTGCAATGTAAATTTAAACTGTAATAAGACATATGTAATATGTAACTGTAATATGCATTGTTAGGAATGATAGTCACCTAACACTTGGGTTGGCAATATACAAACAAGGATAGTCATTTAATACTGTTGTATCTTTAAGAGAATGTTGTAATTGTGATTGGCTGAGGTTCCTCCAACGGCCATAAGATGAAGCCAGAAACCTGGTTTGTTTTCTTTTTTGCATTTCCTTTGCTTTCCTTTTGCCTTTTGCCTGACCGTCATTCTGCTTGAATTGCTGTGAGTCTTGCAACTATTCACAAACTCTGTTTACTGAACTTTGTTTATGATACTGGTAAAGAAAAGGATTTCATTTTTGGATTATCCCTGGACTGATTATTTTGAATACTAACTGCTTTAACCACATATTATTTGGACTGTTTGTTGGACTTTGTTTACTGCTTTAACCACATATTATTTGGACTGTTTGTTGGACTTTGTTTACAGGAAGTAAAACTTACATTTTACTATTCAGTGTATTGTGTGCTGGTTGTATGTTATTCATCACCACTCTCACTATGTTTCAGTTCTAGGAGCAACCCACCTTCACCCAGAATAAATTGGGTATTTTTCATTCAGAAGTAAATGTAACATTGTTTGGAACAGGCAAATATGCATTTCCTTGGACAAACATATTTTTATTATTACTTGACCCATATCTAGAAACTTCTCTTCCTTTCTCCCTTCTTTGTGTGTGTCCTTGTGTAACATCCAGTATACATTGGCTTCAAATCCTTGGTTCAAAGAAGAATGAACACTGGATTATTAACAGCCTTTAGACGGTGATGCATTCCAAGGATCTGGGCAGGCAGGCCTCAGTAGCTTTAGAAAAAGTTTAAATCATTGGCAGAAAGGGGCCAAAACTAAATCCTACCTTACAAAATAATTATTGTGTCAAAGATCAATAATCCCTACCACTTCTTTCATATACATTAAAATGATGTATACAAAACCTAAAAGTATAAGAAGGTAAAATATTTTCACTAATCTCCAGTGAATTATGGGCTTAAAAGACAGGCAGTAACTTGCTAAGTTATTTCTCTGGGTTGTAATATCTACAAATATCAAAAATTGCCTGATAAGGGGATTTTTTTCAGACAGCTTCTTCCCTCAAAATAAGTATTATTCATTTTAATGATTGAGTATCCTATTTGTTCCTATCTAGTCTCAGAGCAGATAGTAAGAAGGTTATTTCTCACATTACTTATTAAACATGCTTAAAATGGTGGTAACATCCCAAAAAAATGTTTCTAAAGAAAACCTGAACAGATCCTAAAAAGAATGCCATCTTTCAAACAGTCTTGTCTCAGATCTAGTAGTACTTTATACACAGTAAATGCAACTGGATCGAGTTCACCAGCTGGTAACCTTCAAAAACTAATCAGATTTGGCAACCTTTGAATTACCCTTGAAAAGTTTCCAGAAGTTGCAGCAGGTACAAATATTGTAGGTAGCCTATTAATTGGCACAAGACTTGGGAAATGTGTGATTTGTACTTTATTAAAGCATTTGTAAGTAATTGTTTCCTGAGTACAATTTAAAACATTTATAATAAACTTTAAAGCCCCAAACAGGTTTAGGCTTGCTTTCTTAAACAATTACATTTCCCACAGTGAATCAGACTAGGAAGTGAGGCATTTTTGAAGATGTGGCTTCTGTCAAAGGGTTGTCATTTTCACCTACAGTAAAATACAGCTTGAGAGTTGCTTTTGGATCTCTACTTTCACATAGTTTAGAAAACTATAAATATGATGCAAAGTAAATATAATGATAACAAACAAGAGAAAAAGGGAACACAACAGAGAAGGGATCCCAGCAAGGTAGAGGTTAGAAGAAGAAGGGGGGGTAGGAAGATTTGGTGGGGGAAGAAAGAAAGGGGAAAGGCGGAGAAAAGCCTCAAAGCTTTAAAATTGGATGGGAGAAGAGGGATTTTTTTTAGAGACAAAGGATGAAATATAATTTTCTGTAAGAAAGATTCTGCTAAGGTACAGAAGATGGTATTGTAACATTTATATTTGAAATAGTAAATTAGAATGGTTTAAGATTTAATAAGAAATTAAAATGTTGAAGTTTTTAATAATGATTGATTTTTAAAATGTAATAAAATATCGAAGGAAAGGAGGATACAATGTATTTAAACATTTTTGGTGGATAGAATGTACCAAGCAGAACCAAATTGGGTATTTGTTATGCTGAATGTTAATTTTACTAACTTAGGGGGAGGATAGAAAGGCATCATACTCTGATTAGTGATTTCAGGAGAATTTTTTTTTTTTTTTTATTATAAGAAGAGATAGAGGGATAATTGAATGGGCAAAAGATACAAATTTAATGATTTAATTAAGATGGATTAAATAAGATAGAAATGTGAAGAGTGATATGTGCTATTATTTTAGCCCATGCAAAGAGAGGTAACTGGGGCCAAGGTACTTTACTAAAAGATTTTTTTTATGTTTGTTTGTGTTTGTTTGTGTTTTATGAGAATATTGGGGAAATTATTGTAGAAAGACAGGGAAAGATTCAATATGTAATGATTTGTTTGTTGTTGAAACTTTTAATAAAACTTGTTTTAAAAAAAAAAAAAAGAAAACTATAAATATACATCTATTTACCAAACTTTTATCAATTAATTACCATTTGTATTAATTTCAGTACTTCTTCGGTATTTTTTAGATTCAGTTTTTTTGTTTTCCAAAACTTATTAGCTGCCTTGAATATTTGATAGGGTGGAAAGGTAAGTCACAAGTGAAATAAGTAAAAATAAAAAATAAAACAACCAGAATTTGGCCTGTGTGAAAATGTTACAAGTTATCAAATGTTCCCTGTTTGAAGCTGTGTGGTGGTACAGATTTTGTTTTCAAAGGGTACTTCAGAGCATATAGGACTATACTACCTGTTTATGTCAAGCTAAGGCAGTCATATCTTTTTCTCACAACTGCATGAAACATAATTGCATTAAGGTGTAACATATACTGTAGAATAAATGTTACACTTACTTTCCCATGCATTCCAAAACTTATTTAGAAGACTGTATCAGAATTGCTGCACAACCCTACTTGCTATATACTGGTTGAAGGGTTACCAGCCTAGTTTTGGTATTTTGGACCAGCTAAAATGTTTTTCAAAGGCAATACATGAAAAGCCAATAGGATGTGCAACAGCGTTAAATGGTGCCTCCAAGTCTAAATCCAACCAACAACTTCAAAAAAAGAAAAAGAAAAGCCCATGTATTAGTATCAAAAGCCACCAGCAAAACTGAAAGGATCACATTGCTTCTTTCTGATAGAGAAAGCCTATATAGGCTATATAGACTTGCAGAGAGGGTGGCATAGTTTCCTATGGGATGGGAAATGTAAACAGCATGCATATTTTCAGAGACACATGATGAGAGATTTATTAATTCGGACATGGAACAAGATTAAAAAGAATCATTATACTAAAATACTGAACTGGCTGTCAACTATGGAAGCACAAATCTACCCAAATGCAATGGATCTGGGGAAAAAGAGGAACTACAAGGACCTATTAGACACACAAAGAAGATTAAACACGAGACAAGAATTACAGCAACAAAATATAAAGATTGATTGGTGGCCATACATGCAAATTCAGGCGAGATATCAGAATGACAAAGAACAATTTGGTTTCTGCATGGAAAAGCATCAATTAGATAAAATCCTACAAGAAATGGAAAAGAAAATGATTTCAAGAATATATAACTTTCCACTAGATTTTAAAATGGAAAAGAAGGTGGTCAAAGGTGGTATGGGTGAAAAATGTTGGCCACAATATAGGCCTGGAAAATTGGGAGAGAATGTGGGGATCAAATTACAAAATAATTACATCCACAGCATACAAGGAAAATCAATACAAAATGTTCTACAGATGGCACCTTCCTCCCACTAGATTGGCAAAAATGTTTAACTCAGATCCAAATTGTTGTAAATGTGGAAAAGAAAAGGGCACTTATTTTCATACCTGGTGGACGTCCCAGGAAGTGAAAAAATATTGGAATACAATTAGACAATGGATAGAAGAAATCACAAATCAGGAAATTGAATTTAATCCGGAAACTTTTTTATTAGGTATAATAACACAAAAATGCAATAAAACAGACAGATATATTATGTTACATATATTAACAGCTGCAAGGATTTTGTACACACAACTCTGGAAGGAAAAAAGGGTTCCACCGGAAGGCATGGTTATAAAAAAAAAAAAAATTGTATAGAGATGGACAGGCTAACGATGAAAATAAAA